TATTTTTTGTTCTCTGTTGATATATATTTTTGACGCTACATTTTATTCCCTTAGAACAAAGTTATCGAATCTCGAAAATAATTTTGTACGACAAGCCTTCGCGTTTCCGTTGTTACCAGAATATTCCTGGCTGCGACTGGAAACGTAGCCAGGATGCGGATACAATGTCGTTCGTAATAACTTCGTACATCGATAACAACACTGGAACACTGTATTTTTTCGTTCGACGTCCGCTTTCAAACGAACGCCCAGGGGCGGCCGAGAAATCGAGAAACAAATGCCAATTTCGCTTTGCAACAACAGACAGCTACCGCCGTCCGCCTCCAACAAATGAGGAAACAATTGCGCGATGGAACGAGAATCACCGCTAAATCCAAATTGGGAAATATGTTTCGCGTCGAATGAAACGAATGCGAGAACAATACTATTCGAGACGAAAAGAACGACCCAGTTTTCGTTACGCGACTTTCCAAGACGTTTTCTAACAATTCGTGATCTATTTAAGGGTTTTAATTGTAGGAAGACTTCTTACGAGGCTTCTAATTAGCAATGAAGGCTGTACAAAATTAGTCATTTTCTTTTTACCGTGGACCTTAAGAAACAATACGGTGCTTGAACATTTGTCAGCGTGGAGTATTTAATTGTTTGTCAGCTGAAGCAAGAAATGTTTTGAGAAGAAAATTTAAAATATGGTTATGTTCATGGTAATTGAAAGAATTATTCTACCTTCCTCTTCAGATGGAAAATGTTTCTATAGTACGAATACAAACAATTTCAATCATTAACTAGATTATCGAATGTGTTTGTGTAGGGCAAACATGTTAAATCTGAGAAAGAAGATCGAATAAATACTTGGATTACCATGGAAGAAAGACGTTTATTTTAATCGGACTCCGAATCAATTGGACATTGTTGACAACAATATTTATTCAACTCGTTTGTATAAAAACATAAAAATACAGTACGATGTTGTGAAAAAGAATACACAGAATAGTATTGCAGGTCTATTAAAATGTGCATAAATTGTTTCTATGAGCACATGAATATTAATACTTCGTTGGACCTCCTTTGTGAATAAGCAGTCTGAAAACAATGTGCATCTCTGCTATGACTATTCATACTATATTAGATGGGTGTATTCAAATTTGCGTAGGTAACTGCACCCACTGTCGACAAAATAACGATTGGTATCGAATTTGTACAGATGAAATTTATTTACATTCATAAAAGTTCATTTTAATTATGCTAGCCCAAGCATACTCGCATAATACAATAGAAAGTGTGCAGATGTTTCGATTGTATTCGTTTCGAAAAGCCACTTTGATGTACCAATCAGTTATCAACGTATTGGAATATCTTATAACCTCAAAATCAGTTTCTGCATCTTCATTTATATTTATTTAAACGATGCCTCATTTACACCCCACCCTTGTGTGCAACTACCAGTTGACATTTTTATAGAAGATCAAATGTATTTGCAAGTTCGATAGTTCGAAAGCATCGAGTGCCAAAGTGTATTTGAAACGTATCGAACTCGTGCTTTGTTTCGAATAATTTTGAATACATTCCGATTGTGTCAACCTCGCGTCTGGGGGAGTTTCTTTGTATTAAGTATGAATTTCAAGTACTTGTTTTACTTCGTGGTTTGCATAGGATAATATATTTGTGATCTTTACGTGAGAATTGTTTGGAGCGGTGCCAAAGTGTCCTATCCTGAACGTCCAGCTACATTGAATGGGTAGCGACATAACTGGAGAATCGAGAGTCGAATTGCTTACTCGTGAGCAGTTTCCCTGTGTTGAAATATCTATTCACCTTGCTGCGGTTGAGCCTTATTATAATACTTATTACAGTACTTGCACCATTTTTTTTTCATTGTAAATTTTTCTTGAATGATTAATTCAGCCTGAGAAACCACTCAAATGATTATAGTTTGCTATTGAGAATTGTCGAGACACAAAAACGTCTGTAATTCATAAAACAAGATCGCGCATGGTACACGTTTACAGTTGAACATTTCTCACCGTTTGTTTACATTCAAACAAATACTGAAATGGATCCTGCCTCTTAAGATACAAGTGGAAGAGATACCTTTAGAAAACCATTATCGCCGAAATCCTAACGAATACGTTTAATTTCGTACAATATCCGTCGCGATAAATCGAACGTCGAGTACCACAGTTTTCGCCATCTCGATGCGATTTAACGCAATAAAGCGAGTCTCTCGATCCCGGAGGATTCAATCAAAGCAGGCTATCGACTTAAATGAAGCAGATAAATTAAGATCGAGACGACGGAGACGCCGAGCTGAGGCGGGGGACGGAAAGGAAGACATAAGTCGAGGGAAAAATGTAGAAAGACGAGGGACAAGGGAGTCGTTATCGAGGCGCGAGGATAAGACCGATAAGACAAAAGTAGCAACGTGCCGGGTGGAAATCATTCCGATGGACCATTGAGTCCAAGATGTTCCATCGGGCCCGTCGAAGATCCCCGTGGGATGCCGATTTCTCCTATGATCGCGTAATGAGGCTGACGAGACTTTCCTCGCATCTCATTTCCATTTTCTCCCCCTCGAGGACATGCAAACTCTCTTCTCGTTTAAAACTTGTCCGAATTACTGACTCGCAACGAAATTATCGGGTTCACTGAACTGCAGCGCTCCATTCATCGACGATCGGTAAGGATCGCGATCGCGAAACAGTGGAAATCTCATTTTTCTGTAGGAGGAAGTATCGACGCATGCTCAGACAGGTGATTTAAAAATAAATTGTCGGAATAGGAAATAATAAAATATGTGTACATCCCACCTACGACCAAAGAATACATTATTTTAATTCACCGTGTTTCGATACCTAGAAACAATAATTAAATACACCACATTTTTTGAGGATACTCTCTGAGAGAAAATTGTCCACCACGTTTAATTCTCCTTTAGGCAGCAATTATTAAATCCACCTGTAACATGGCGGCACGTTGAAAGCCTGAGAATTTCGGTAAATTTCAACGACAAACTGCGACGTGCCTATACGCCGTATATCGAAGCTCCGCTTTTTTCCGTTTGCAAAGTTCAGCGGCGCGTAGTGTGCACAGCGCAGCGAACACGGACAGAAAGGTGGAACGTGTGCGTCGCGGTTATTACCAGTCGTGCACGGAGCTCGGATTAATCGTGCACTTTCGAATGAAAGTTTCGCATATTATTCCGCGTTACATCACGGACCAGATAACAGAACGGAAGGAACAGGCCGTCGTTTATCGAGCTTGCGAGTTACAACTTTCTCGTGCGATTAATCATACTTTGAATCATTCAGGCGTGCTACGCGCTGAAACATCGAACACAGTGTACGTGTATCGCGAGTAATTTTGAGTACTTATTCGTTACGCCATTAGTTGAAATCCGATTAACCGAGTTCGGGGATAAAACGACTTTTGGGGAAATTTCTGACTGTGAAAATTAAGAACACTGTCCGAAGGAGGATTTCGTATTGGGATCACGAGTAGGATTTTAACATACTTGGAAAAAGCTCTGAGAAGCACATATTTCAATTTTTACATACATAAAGTGCATTAGACTCGCAGCTAGATTTTGCCTCTACTTCGTAACATTTCTCGTGCGTGGACTAGGAAACAGAAGACACTTTTATCGTAAAAAATTCCAAAAAGGTCGAGCGTTACTGCTACGTCCAAAAAAAAAAAAAAAAACAGAAAAAGGAATTTAAGAATGAGTTTGAAGACAGTTCGCAAAAGGCGCACTTCCTCCGAGACGGGTTTGAGATGGTACATAAGAACCAACGTACCGAAGGCTCGAGTTGCGGATCATTTATTTAGGAATCCGTCTCAGCTCTGACGACAGTGGCTCCGTTTCTAGCTCCCACCTACTCACGAGCGTACGTCGACCCTTACGACCCCTGTTAAAGAGACACTCGCGAGGAACGTCGAGTGGAACAGGCGCAGGATAAACAGAACGTTCGCAGGGGCTGACAGTGTGTACCGTTGCACGTCGGACGTTGCTCTGTGCCACCTCTGTATCTATATTGTTGAAATGGCTACGGTAAATGGCTGCAGACTGGGTTGATAAAATAGTTGGATAGATATTTAATTGGTCTGGAATAATATAAGTTATAGACAGTAGTAGAGTGAAATTGTAGTGGAGGAATCTATACGAAAAGAGCAATACAATGTCAGTTGTAATACCAATAATAATATTATACAGAAATGTGTTACAAACGTGTTATTACATTAGATCGATCAAGCTGACACTTCTCATCTTCAATCTTTTCGTTCAAGTAATTGTCAATTACGACAATTAATAACTTTAAGTAAAATTCATATTTGTCAATGATACTTCCTGAGTTTATTCTCGGTATCTTCACTTTAATAAATCGGACTGAAAATACAATCGAAATGCTGAAAGAGAAGTTCGAAAAAGATCCCTACTTTTCGACGTGGCACCTTGATTTATCCCCTCTGAAAAAAAGAACTCCTAAAGTCTTCACAGAGTTCCGACCGTAAAAATCCCTAATCCCACAAGCGTCGAATCGCGAAGATCGAAAGGTTTCAGACGTGTCCGATAATAAAACTAATATAAGTCCGAGACTCTGATCATAACCCTCCGGAGCTATTCATCCAGAGAGAGAGAGGGAGAAGCAACGACATCCCCCTGCTCGCAATTTTACAAGCACTTTCCGATTAACGACCTCCGGCAGCAGAAAAAGAGAAACCATCGAGGGGAAGAGTGAGAATTTTTCCCATTCAGTCTCGTATCGACGCTCATTCAATGGCGACGGATGTCGAGGTGCAGTCTCGAAAGCTTATCTTCCCAGTTCCTCGATCCAGTCCCAACTTCCAGCCGAATAAAAGGGAAGTTCCCGAGAAGGTCGTCTCCGTGCTCGCCCCCCCCCCCCCCCCCTCCCCGCGTTTCACATCTGTCTCCTCAGCTCGGGATACGACCGACGTTGTTCGCGTTTGCTCGATTCAAAGCGATCCTGCGATCTTTGTTGCAGATAATCAGCTACGACTCCATCAGAGGCGGCGTATCTGTGGTCACGGAGAGGGGTGACAGCACCACAAGTTTCCTGCTGGTGCAGGAAGCGAAGCCATCCGACTCGGGGCGGTACACTTGTAATCCCAGTAATGCTCAACCCAAATCGATCACCGTGCACGTACTCAATGGTGAGTGGTCTCTACTTAAAAACGACATTAAGAGGAAAAAGAAAAAGAAAGGATTAATCGAATTAAAAACGTAGTTAGTTGGTACAAGGATTACGACTAAAATAATTGGACAAAAAATAGAATCGCTCAATAATGTCACTTTAGATACGTACTACGTAGTCAGATTTGAAGAATATTTTTCAAATCTCTCATCGAACGATCAATGCGTACGTACCAGGTCGAGTACAATAATTCTCCGAGTTCTCTAATTGCGTACGGTTTCTTCCTTGCCTCATTATCAGATCGAGCATTCCGTGACCGATTATTATCTTGCTCGTTCTTGGAAAGAAAATTAATATACTCGCACGTTCAATGGCACGGAAGTTTTTATCGGGCGAATAAATAACGAAGGAGAACGACCATTCTCCGGGTATTAATTTAAAATTGATGAACGCCAAAGAAAGGTAGACCTGAAGGAAAAGAACGCACACCCGCTTGGCTTCGTTCGATACTGCGTTTAATTAATGAACCCTTCTTCTTCGCGCCGATTAATGGATTCGCCGCGCGAAGAGGTAATATTGATGCATGGGTGCATTTGGAAACGCGCTTTGCATCCTTTGAGGTGAACACGTTTCTTGCAATAGCAACATCCGAATGTACACTGTCGGTTATATGTATTGACGCACATTTGTGCAAAATGAGATTTCTTGAAGAATAGCATTTTTCGTTGGTTTTATTCTCGTGATTTAATTAAAATATACGTTCAGTTTTATTTAAATATTTAAATATTTTTGAAAACGAAGCACCATTTACCTACACACAAATCGAACCGACGTCTTCAGAAAATTTAAGTGTTGTCCCCTGTTTCAGGAGAGTATCCCGCGGCAATGCAGCACGGCGGTCAAGCCAAGCAACCAAGGCTCTACTCCCTTCTGCTCTGTCTGTGTCTGCTACTTTACTAACTGTCTCAACCCCCTCGCCCAACGCCCCTTCCCCCCTTGGAAGACCACCCTATCCATCGAACCAGTCGACGACGGTTATCGAGGGACTTCCACCGTGATATCCACCGATCGTGGGACGACGAACGCCGTCGTAGAGACTCCTCGGGTTCGCGCGACCAGGGACCAGTGGTGGTGCAGTGACACGGTAAAAAAAAAAAAAAAAAAAAAAGAATTCTGGCGACAGGTGCGTCGAGTGAGATCGCGCGGACGAGAAAAAGGGTACTCGCGTGCCTCGACGAAACGTCCTCGAACCGAACCTAAACGTAACCGTCAGCGTGGATCAACACGAGTGGCCGAGTCGTGAAAACGCGACTGGATACGCCCTCGTGGCGTTAACACCGAACGAAGCCGATCACCACGCGAAACCAGGCCCTGTGGTGAACGTCGACGGTACGTGTTTCGACGGTACAGCGCTCGACGGTGCAACAAAGTGACTGATCGTGATCGCAGGCGCGAACACATGACGACGGTGCGAGGCAACGTAACGCGGAAATAATGCAGCTGGTCGCGAAACGATTAAACCCGAGCCGGTCGCGGGACAAACGGAAATTGAGATGGCGAAAGACGCGGAGCAGGGGTCGAAGGGGGGAGGAGGAGGGGGAGGGGGAGGGGGGGGGGACTAGCGAGACGGGACGAGGGTGACGGCGAACGGAACAAGCGCCCGAGGGACAAAGGTGTGGATCAGAGTACAAAGGATCGCCTTTCCTCCGCAATTATTCAGCCACGCCGACACGCGGAATGTGTACGGAAGAGGAGAAACGGAAAGCGGTAGTGGAAAGCCCGGGAACACCGATCGACAGCCGGATCCGTTTTCCATAGGGCGCGTCATACCTCGTTCGCCGCGAAAAGGGCGACTCGTCGCCGCGCAAACCCCGCAATTTCGATCCTCGATCCACGCCTGGCCAAAGTCCTTTCGTCGTTGTACCCTTGTTCTGCCACGACGCGTGGGACTCCTGGAATTCGAGCTGAAAGTGGGAATCACGAGTCGGACACGTCGTACGGTTGCGTGGGAACGAGTATGTACCTGACTGTGGCGCGCGTGGTCTCGGTTGAAATTGTATGATGTTGACACCTTCTGTTGTAGTAGGACTTTTAGGAGGGAATTTGAGTCGAGCATCGGAGTGCAGGAGTCAAGCATGTGTGAAAATGAATTCGTACTTGTATGGCAAGGGATTGGTCGTGTCCTTGTGAGACTCCTGGTGAGGAGTTTGAGTCAAGATTTGGAAAGCAAGAGCCACGCGGTGGTGTGCGAGTGAGTTTGTACCTGACTGTGGTAAGTGTGGTTCCATATTAAATTGTATGCCAAGAGATCTACCCCTTGTTCTGCAACGTGCAAGACTACTAGTAAGGAGTTTTGGTCAATCATTGAAAGACAGAAGACAGGCACGTCAGACGAGTGTATGCAAGTGAGTTTTTTTTCTTGATTATAGCACCAATGGCAAGGGGTTGAACTCTTGCAAAGTGCGAGACTCGTGTTATGGAATTCAATCCAAAAAATAAAAAGCGCAAGTCAGGCATGTATGGAAGGATGTAAGCGGGTTTGTACCTGACTGTGTTAACCCCTTATCTTCCAACGATGTGTGAGATTCGTGGTACGGAATTCAGGGTGTAAATTATTGGGGCAGTCTGGCATTTTGGAACGAAAAAGCGATTTCTTATAGGTAGAATAACTAATTCAAATTAATGCAATATTGTGTTTTTTTGTGAACAATATTCGAATTGCTGTTCTTTTACATTCAGTCATTCATTCAAAAGCAAAATGAAACGTACACTTAACAAGTAAATGTATAAACAAGTAAATGTATAAAATGTAACGAACAATTTTTTAAATTTTACCAAGATTCTTTCCAAACGCTTTCAATATTAAAAACCTTAAAGAATTGCTTTTTATATATCGAGTTTTTCATCCGAAATTGCCAGACTGCCCCCCTAAGTGACGCTGCGTCGCGCGGGGCCCCGTTTTGCGCGTAATTGCGTCGGTACACGATTAAGCGTAACGAATTTTAACGCGAGCAAAATGAAACGCGACGGGCACGGAGCAATTAATTCGCCGCTATCGCGACTCGATCGTAATACGTTTATTTACTTCGGCAACCGACACATCGCGCGGATAAAGCTGCGCCGTATGGCAAAGTGGCGTCTCCTGTATCGATTAATGCTTAACAGACGGTGCACGCAACGGAGTCGAATTCTCGTGGAAATCCTTGTCGGATACCGAGATATCTTCCTAGTCGGAGGATTTGCATACGTGTATTCCACGCTGCGCGACCAATTGTTTAACTGCGACACGACATCTAACCGTCGGCCTCTTGGGATTAAGAAAAAGCAACGACCACGATGCATTAGAAAGGTTTCAATTGTATATTTTTGATATTTCTTCGCTCCTTCTCAAAGGAGTGATTTTTTACTGCGTTCCTGTAGTTAACTTGACTCCGTGATTCTTTCCATCTTGTATAATTGGGTGTTTGGACTCTGAATCGTTCAATTGCAGTATAATTATTGTTTACTTGGAATGTTAGGTACACGTGTCGTTGACGAAACATTCATTGAATCTCGACGTTGAAAGTATGTCAGGTAAAATTGATTGCGTCACACCATTTTAACCGTTCAACATTTCCTTTTTGGATTAATATTCGTAACAGTTTTAATATCCTGTTTCGAAGGTTATCGATTTCATTAACGAATGCATGGGTCGCGTTTTTCATGTAGACGTGGAACGAGCGTTGGAAAGCTCGAACATTAGCATATCGATTTTTTTCGAGTAATTAGTACGAGCGGTAATTTCTGAACGATGTATGTCGAGACTCGACAGTGATACTCGCACTTGAAATAACGTTCGAAGTAAAAACAGAACCTGTTCGTTATTCCTGTCCATTCTAGCTTGCGGAAATCGCCGATAAAAGTTCGCGAAAATTTCTCATCGCCGCGGGAAATGAAAAATCTCACTCTACCAAGAAAATCCTAGAAATCTGGGAGAGATGAAGAACGAATATAATAGATACGGGCGAGAAGCGAGAAGCTGAAGGAAATGTGAAGTAAAATCGGAGAAGGAACTCCATGACATATGCAACGTGCAAGCAACTACGGTTATTGATCATTTGATATCGAATCAATATTAAACCAGTATGATCAAAATTATGTTTAGCTTCTGAAATAAATTACAATGTGGGATATTGAACACAGATAATAAAATATAAATTAAACAATAAATTTTAATTAAGTAGAACTTCAAATTGAAGTAATTCCTCAGTTTTCAGATCTTCAACGCAGACGAAAGGTTCCATTTATTGTTTATACTGTTAATTCTAGAGAAAAGGCATTCGGGGCATATTTCCTCCTTCCGTAAAAATCCACCAATTCAAAAAGGAATCGCTGTCTATCCAACAATTTTGACAGTTTTATTTCCAAAGTCATTTTTTTACGAAAATGGCTGACCATTAGCGAGCAGAATCTAGGATTTGTTTATACCCGTTTGCTACAATATTTTAAGTCTGGCTTCATCCTGGAAAAACACTCGCTCAGATGTTCCCGTTGTAAGTTATAGTCAGTCGTCAATTGCAAATATCCAACAATCACGTTCGTATGAAATCCGAGCCAAATAATAAATCTCGAACGTTGCGCGCTTTACTTTTTCTACTCCATATATTTTATGATATATGACAACCTTTCAGTACGAGCGTATTTTTTTTTTGTTTTTTTTTTTTTTTTTTTTGTTTCCTTTTTGTCCCATCGCAGATAGAAACGAACAATCGAACGATTCCAAAGAAATGCAAAGTATATTGGAGAGAGCGATTCCCAATGAAACCTCCCAGGGAATCGTTTGCGACACAAACGGGGAATAATAAATTCAATGCAAATAACTTCTTCGGCGAATGTATTAAATTTAATGGCTGTTTAATGGGCGAATGGAGCTCGATGAGACGTTGAAAGCTGGCAGAAGGAGGACAAATCTAAGCAATCAGTTCCTCCCTTTACGCGCGCCTGCATACAATTATGGTTTAAATTATAATTTTTTATACGATCCTTGGTATCAGGTTATTGAACGAGTCTTCACGTATTTTTATTTAGAGAGACGAATTAAAAATATTAATCATGAGAGGCTTCTTTTGCAGATTCTTTTTCTAGATAAAATAACGTATCAATATCTTTTTCTGTATCTCATTAATAAAGCATGGTAATATCAATGAAATTAATAGTAGTCATTATTATTCCATATTCGATGTATGACTCTAGTTGATGAAATACATTATCGTTGATACAAGTAAACACTATTTTATTTTTAATATTTCATATTAAATAATCTCATTCTGTCGATTCGTTAATAAAATATGTCTCAGTAAAATAATTCCTCCTATCATTTTTCACTCATAAATTGACTGTTTTTGAAGAAGCTACGATTCCGAAAAAAAAAGCGAAGTACCACTTTGTCTTGATATAAATTAATATATTAGCAAAGCAACGACTCTGTTTTAATAATCGGTGTCTTAAAGACGGAGTTACGATTGCCAATAACAATTTATTTGCGAATTAGTCCCGAGAAGAAGGTAAAATATCTTAAACGATACAATTTTGACGACTCTTATTCTTTTATTGGATCGCGCGTTTCCCGCATTGTTGGTTCCACGATGATTAATAAAACTTGCCGAGATCGAGGGAGAGCGAAAAAATAAACCATCCGGAAATATGAATAATGAATGAAAACCGGGGAAACGTTTTTAATCCGCGGACTCGATGCGGACGACCGCGGTCCGGAAGTCGAAGTAATATCTAGTAGTGGGGCAAACGTGATTAAAAAAGTTTCCGCGGAGGGGGAGGGGGGTAATGCTACGACCCGATTACACGTAAGAACACTTCTCTCGTCGCCGCGTGAATAATCGCGTCTTCATAACATCGGCGGCGTTCCTGTACAACGATTCTTCCTGCTGGGGCTGGGACGTTTTATCAAACTTTTCCTTACTCGAAGACACGAACTCGATATCAGAGGACTACTCAAATGTTATCAAAGGAATGTAGCTGTTATATAACTAACACGTACGTATTCGTCATCTTATGAGAGAACAAAAATTATTTGACGAAATATCGATATATCAAAATATTAAATAATTCGAGACCCCAGCCCTACATTCGACTTCCACCTCGATTTCTCCAAGTCCAGGCACTATTTCATACCGCACGCAGTTGCAGTAGATTTCCCTCTCCTAAAAATCAGCCAGTTCCTGTGCAAAAGGGAGGAAGGAACGATACGGCGGTGAGAAAAAAAGAAAGCTCGCGAAACAAACGGTTAAAAAAAAAAAGCACACACAACTGAGTAGAACAAGGGCCAAAGACGGTGGCGGCGGCTGCAACAACGCCAGGCGTTCTCCGGGCGCCATTTATCAAGCTAAACGCGAGGTGCACCGCATAATGTTCGCACCGAGGTTCTCCACCCTCAACCCTCAAGTGGAGGCGCCTGCGTTGCATAATGCGCCCCCGTGGATCGCCGCAGAAATTCGCGCGTGTACGCACGCACATACACGCGCGCGTATGGCCGAGACTGGGTCTCTCCAGAAGCGTTTGGATTACGTCCGATCAAAGCGCTGACCGATTAGGATTGCTCGTCTGACAGTCGCGTTGCCCCTTCGAGATTGCTTGTCCGCTGTCGCGTTAGCGAGATGTGTCCTCGTCGATGTTTGCTCGCGTCCAATACGAGCAAACTCGGATTCTGGGTGAATTTATTAAACCCCCTCCGGCCGTTTATCGATTCTCCGCTCCTTAACGGTGAAATAAAAATTTCGCACTGGGCGGACTTCTTCGCGGTAATCTATGATTATAAAACTTTACGCCATTAGAGCCTGATGGGATCTTAATTGGATTCTTTGCTGCGGTTGATCGACATTGCGACGCGATGGGAGACGATACAGAAGGGAAACTGTTGACGAAGTTTTATGGTACTCGGTATTCGTGGGAGGAAAATAGAGTGGTTTATGTATAGTGATTGAGGTTTTCGGTACGTGCGATTAATCATATTCTATAAAAATATTTGTTGGATGTTAAAAATCGAACGCGAAAATAAAATAAATTGCCTCTGTAAGTAGAATCTAAATATTTTGCTATCGTTGGCAGGACGATGCCATAAAAGTGAAAGTCGTTAAATTTAACTGAAATCATTTCAAATCATCAGAACTCTTATTCGTTCAAGTATAAAAGTCCGTCCCAACGGAATACGTGTAAATGAAACGACTAAATGATCTGCGGCGTGCAGGCGACCACCTATCGATATTTTTACCCATCGTTCCCATTTCAAAACATCGCGAACATTTCCCATGAATATTAAACGAAACAATATCTGACGCGGACATGCACCCGTCGTTTCAACGTCGCGAAATTCGATCGCAAGCTAGATCTATTTTGCCAAAGTTGCAACGAAAATATTTGCTCGCCAAAGTCGAACATCATAACGAACCGCTATTCAACATGGTTGAACAACGAAAAATCCCTATCGTTGCAAAGGCGTCGAAAGGGATGTAGCTCGAGCGTTCTTCGTTTCTTCCGATTTTCTTTTTGAATGACACCGCTAGCTTTGCTTTATTTACAATTTTATTTTCCACAAGGAACAAACAAATGATTTAATATAAATAAAACATTTAGAGAGGCGTACCTGCAAATTTTTAATTTCACATTGTACACGTACAAATGCAATTTTTATTTAAAATTAGTAAGAGTGTTCAGCAATTAGTCATTAATTACGTTATTAAACCACGTACAACACCGAAGCCTGCCTAAAGGATTTCATTGTTTGTTCATTCTAATTATATTGATTTAGCGAAGGCAGCCCGCTGAAATAACAGAGCGTGGAGTGGCGGAGTAATGGCTGGACCACAATTATATAAACTCTCGTGTATCATAGAAATGCATCTAAACTTCGTGCCCGTGTAATTTCAGCTTCAGAACCGCGAATGTTCCGTGGATTATATTGAAAGCGTTCTGGCGGTTCGAGATTGTTATTCCCGCGCGGTCGACTCGCGACGGGCGTGGCGGGGGTGTACCAAAAATAACATTTATTTCCGTCAGCGATAAATACGAGGAAAAAACTCGGTACGAGGAAAAAGAGAAAAAGAGGGAAAGACAGTTGCCTGGACAAACAAAGATAATACGGAGCCACCCTTATCGATCGTTTATCGTTAACCTGACAGCGATGCTTATTTATCCCGATTCCTAAAAACTCTTTACACGAAACGGAGGACGACACGCAACCGTGGAGTGGACCTTCGAAATTTCGGACCCGAAATAACCGATCGACCTCGGGAAGCCAGGAATTTCTGACAGTGATTTTTACCGCGCGAGACCTATCCCGATTGAATTCAATATCGAAGTGTGCTTCTCCTTTCTCTCGCAAGCTTTCGCGAGGGAAATTCAAAGCGACCCAGATTAAAACCGACTAGAAATTCTGATTCGAAAATACGGTTCACCGCGGCACAAAGGGTACGCAGGTAAAGGTAGACGAGAGAGGAGGCGTAGGTAAATGAGAAGATGTCTGGGCAAAGAAAGAAAGATGACACTTCTCTCGCTTAACGACCGTTCCCGAGTCACGCTTGCCGCATCATTTATTTCGTTGGGTACGAAGGGTAGCGCCAAAGGAATATATCCCGTCGTTGCGGGCTGAAAAATAATTATAAATAGCCTGGATTGTCCGTCGAGTCGCTGGTTGATGCTTCCGGCGAAGGA